TCATCTTTTTAAGTGGTAGAACTTGCACAATTGGTGGCTGACTAAATACTTTTTTGCCCCATTGTAGTTCTATTCTTTCTGGCAAGTCTAGCAAGAATTACAATCTTTCTAGAACAGCTTCTCTAAAAAGGATAATGGGTCCAAATTAGGGCTAGGAGATACTGGTTGAAATTCATTCTAAAAGGATTTGGCAGGAACAGGTAATCTTTTGGCTGTTAGAACTGCTGGGTTGAGGGTTGCACATCCAGGTATAGCTATTCTTTCTCTGTCTCTTTCCCTCCCTTTCTGTCTGAACATACAGTATATCATTCTCTTTTCATCTTGAAAAGTTTTGTTTGGAGGAAGGGGGAAGTAAGAAGTGTTCTCCCTTCCTCCCAGGGCAGATCACAGGTTTTATGCTATGGGTAAACAACTATTTTGTGCAAGTACCTGGAAGGAAAAAATACTTTTTTCTCAGTGGTCTTTACCAGATTGCTAGTTTGCTGTTGCCATCAGTAAGAAATTACCTTTCTGTACTCTACCAGCCAGCTAATCAGCCTGGTCTGTATTAAAAGCAGGTAAGATCTTTTTCTTGCAGTTAATTGATCATCCCTGTCAGGAATCAGAGAGCTGGTCCTCCTTTCCTAATGAGAGTGGCCAAGTAGTAAGCTATTCCTGCCAGACTTCTAATTGATCTGCTGGATGGTAGAAATAGAGGAAGGCGCTTTCAGTGGTGCTGTTTTGTGGTCAAGATTCATGTGAACACAAGCTATTCCTCCCAGCTATAGTTGAAAATACAAAAGTGGCTTTGTTTTAGAATTGCCTAATGCAGTGGGCAGAAAATTGTGGAAGGATAATATCTAATATTAGTAATATCTAAGAAAATGGAAGTGGAGAGGGTTGAAGTGATTGAAGCAGATGAGATGTGATCTGAGAGTAGAGGACATTTTAACTAGTTCTTTGGCATGATCAAATAATTGTCAGATTTTCTTGAAGTGTCACAACTCTCCATAGAGAGAAAGGATCCACTTGATTGATCCATTCCAAGCAAGTGATGAATCTCATGGATTTCTAAATGGTGTTCAGAGAAATTTCCAAAGCTCTGGTGCATAGTTCTGTGGAGTGTCTGGTCAATCACTCAAATCTATAGTCAACAGTGATACTTGACAGGATTGCTCCTGAGCAGCCTCTTCTTGTGAGTCTGTCCAAGGGAGTTCCTTGGCTTACTGAGGCGCTATGGGAGATGAAACAGCAGAAGAGACACCTAGTTGATGCTGCCAAAGAATGAGTGTGATCAGAACCAAAAAAGAGCTCAAATTTGAGCCTACACCATGATGGTTGCAGCAGTAAAGTGGGCCTACTTTTCTGTTCTTGCATCTGTTGATAGCTTCCCAGGAGACTTATTTAAAGTAACTCACTCCCTGCTGGAGAAATCTAGGGCTGAAAGATCAGCTGCTGGGCTGTTGCAAAGAGTTTGCGTAGTACTTGGAACCTAAAAACAGCTCACATTTGTTCAGAGCTCAACACCATCTGGGCAAGTCCAGCTGTGATGGAGGACTTGAGTGAGGAGGTCCAAGGTCATGGGGAGAAGAATCTGAAGCATCTCCTCAGCCCGCAGCCTGAGCTTGTGAAAGCTAAGAGGATGAGATTGGCATCACCCTAAGGAATTTGGAGTGTTTAGTTGCAGACTTTGGGAGTTAGAGTTAGTCTGGCGAGATTCTGTGTAGCAGGTGTAAGCTAATAAAGTAACTGAGCAATTCCAGAATTGTCCCGTGGAGTTTCCTGGGCTGAACCTGACACCAGCTGAGATTACAGGGATTTTGTGATGTTATCTGGGATCAGTTTGTACCTGTGGATCCTGATTAACTGGACAGCCATTTGTGGATTAGTTCTTGCCTTACCTGACTAGTGAAAGTTGCCAGGGTGGTTACAGGAGGCCAGGTTTGGGTGGTGGTGAATCTATGTTTGAAGGAGGGGGTTATCTTCCACCGTGATACGTGTGGTGGTACACAACCTCTTCAGGCAGACATTGCTCAAGCTGACTTTTTAAAACAAATGTTATCCTATCTCCAACCTCCCCATTTTAGGAGATAGTTCAACAGATGCACCCCTAGCTTGTCTCTTGGAGCCCATTTTAAATGTGTTCTATGGGACTTTAGAAACCATATAGCTACAGAGAATCCTGGATGAAAGAGAGATCTGGATTTCTATCAGTCAGGATTCAGGACTGGGTAGGTGGGATATGTGGGACTTCTGGGTGAGGAAAATGGTGAATTAGATGTCTCTGAATGAGCAGAGGCAATGCCACAGTGATGACTGATGGACTGGAGGCAAACTCAGTCCAACGGAGCCTCTCCGGACAAGGCTGCTCCTAATGGGGAGACTGCAGGACAGCGGCTCTCCTGTAGATCTGAGCACTGGGAGATGAGGGAAGCCATCAAGCTCTCAACTGTGGCAGAGACTTTAAGGACACTAAATTTGTCTAACCTCACTTACTAATCATCTTTGGATTTACAGTTATATTAAAGTTAAAAGAGGTCTTCCAAACAACAAGTCTGTAAATCTATCTGGTGAGTAAAACTTCATCCTGAAATAGAAGAAAAATTAAGTTAGCGTTTAAAGAATTTAAGAACATAAAATAAATGGCAAAAAGCTAAATAAGAATTTAACCTAAGAAAGTTTTAAACAGATTAAGGGACCAAATGAATTTGGAATATTAGGACTTTTCCTAAGAGCTTTGAAAAATTGAGTAAATAAAACAAAATATTTTTGTGGAAATGTGAATTGTTTAGTCTATGAGGAAAGAGATTATTGGTGGAAATTTAAAAACCAATTTGAGATTTCATGAATATAAAAATGGGACACTAGAGGGGACTAAAGTTCTAGGCAAGAAAAAGAACAGTGAAACTTGCAAAATGACAGATAAAGCTATGACACTTGATTTCAAAGGATCTTTGAAGAACTGGGAGAGAAACTTACAACTAAGCTGACAGGAATAATTTCTACCCTTGCCAATGTACTTCTTGAGGAAGATTTTAAAGAAGAAGTCAAAGATGTAAAAGATGGGGAAGAGAAAATCCCAAATGATGTAGAAATATTGGAAAGTGAAGAAACTGTATTATAAGACAGAGATTATTGTTAGAATGGAAATACGAATGACAAATCAAAAAATGAAAAATGACCTGGACAAGGACTTATTATTGGATTTACAAAAGAAGGTTTCTAGAGCTTTGAAAAAATCTTTGAGATGGGAGAAAGACCATTTGAATGGAGATTCAACCTTACAACAGCAACTTGATTAATTAAGATTAAGACTGTTAGAGGCAAAAGGAAGGAATATAAAGCTGATTGATCAGGGTTAAAATAAGAACTATCTTTCTAAAATTCTGGAAACCCTTTAGGGACTTTTTGCCAGTACCTGGACAGAAATATCAACGATTTTTGGATTTGTGATTGGATAAAGGAGGGGTTATGGGAAGGGGTAAATTATGTATCTAACTGCATAGGGGATGGGAAAATATTAATTTGCGTATACTTGTTGCAAGGAAGATCAGGAGTCGCTTCTTTAAATATTCTTTTTTCTATCCTCTTTTTCTGTTCTTTTCTTTTTATTCTTTTTTCTTTGCACTTTGTATTTCTTCTCTTTTCTATTCTTTTTATTTCTGATTAGTTTGCATTATCTTTTAGTATTATAAAATTCTTCAATAAAACATTAAAAAAAAAGGATTTAAGATTTGGTATGGAATGGAAACCACATTGGTCACCCTGTTGGATGACCTTTAACAGGTCTAGGATTGTTGAGTGTGTCTCTCCTGGTCTTGATAGTTCTCTTGGAGGTTCTGGAAACCATTAATTATGGTATCCTGCTGGACTGGCTACAAGGATTGGAATGGGGGCGCACTATGTTGCAATGGTTCTCCTTCCTAAGTGGGGCCCTCCATTCTAGGGTGCCATAGGACTTGGGACTTTTCCCCCCTGCTGTTTAACCTCTATGTGGGGTTAGCAGCATTGGAATGAGGTGGTATCAATGTACAGATGATACCCAGTTATACATATCTGAGGTGAGGAGGAGGTTCTGACCCATTGCTTGGAGACTCTTAGGATAAAGTGGGTAAACAGAGACTCAGACTGAACCGTGGTACAATGGGGTAGCTGTAGATTCAAAGGCCAATTGAATCTGGGGAAAATCCATCCTTTCCTCTGGACAGGCTTGTGCTCCCTTGACAGAACTGGCTCACAGTTTGGGGGTTTGCCTGAAATCACAGCTCCTGCTTGAACAGCAGATGGAAGACATGACCAAGAAAACCTTTGCAGGATCAGGAGGTGTTTCTTGGCTCAGGAGGTTTTGTGCACAGTCATTTATGTCCTCGTCACTTTGCAGCTAGACCATTGTAATTCACTCTGCATGGGGCTGTCCTTGAAGACCTTCTGGAAGTTTCAGCTGGTGCAGCATGAGGTAGCCTTGATAGTTATGGGCATATCTAGATTCACCGATGTGATGCTACTACTTTAGGAAGTACATTGGCTACCAATGTTCAAGGTGCTGGTTATTACCTTCAAAGTGCTGAGTGGGCAGGGTTTAGATACCTTCAAGACTGTCTGCTCTGGGCTGGGTCTGCCTGCCCAGTAAAAGCTAGAAGACAAGGCTTGTTAAGGGCCCCATCACTTAAGGGATGTCACCTGTAGGGACTTTCATGTTCAGTCTTCTCAGTGGTAGACCCCTTCTGTGGAACACCTTGCCCCTGACATTCAGACCATTCCCTCCTTATTGAGCTTCCAAAGAGTCTTGAAAATCACAAAGAATCGGGAAAGCATTACAATGAGGATTGACATACCCCCATTAGGTAGGAGATAGTGTTTTGAGTGTTATGATTTTATTTTAATGTTTTTGTTGCTTCATGTAAATCACTCAGAGATGTTTGGTAGGTAAATATGAGAGATAGAGAATGTACAGATATTAATGTAATCCTATCATATCTTGCTGACTTGCATAAGTGCAAGAAATTGTAACTTTTTTCTGATTCTGTTTTAATGTTCAATGTTTCATAGTTTCATTCACTGGCACCTATGTACTATCGTGGATCAGCTGCAGCTGTTATAGTTTATGACATAACCAAGCAGGTAAGTTTACTATTACATTATTGACATGTACTCAAAATCCCAACTTCATCAGTGCTCATTGTGTTTTTCTGCCAGCATCCTACTGTGCTAGCTTAGAGGACAATTCAGCATAAAAGTTGGACACTCATTTTCTTATAAGATTTTTAGGCATTAATCAAGATAATTAGAAGGTACAGTATTTTCTTTGAGTCATTTAAACTGGGATAGGCAGTCTTTTGAGATTGAGGAGTTTTAAGGATGACACTGGGTGCACTTTGGGACACTTATTTTTTACATTTTTGCTGCTGAATGTCAGCAGTGATGTTATGGGATGCTCCATGGGCTGTAGACAGATTTCTCTGTGCATCAGTCACATAATTCAATCTGAACTTTGCTGTGTCGCTTCAAAAAATAGTCAAATTCAGTTCAGGCAGGTTTAGAGGCCTGCTTCTCGATTTGGAATTTCACTTTGTAAAGTTTGAGCTTTGTGAGTTCCTTTATCATTGAAAATCAACAAATGCCCATAACTTAAAAAAAAAAAAATTACCTAGCAGAATTGGATGAAATGTGTAGGCATATTTAAATTTGCACTTTAAATTAGTGTATATCTGTGGTGGAGGGAGGATTGCACAAAATCAGATTTTCTATCCAAAGTACTAGGCAATGAAAAATATTTGACAGTTGGCTATTGATTTATGGTTCCTCAGACTATTGACTGAGCCACATTCTAATATCGTAGAAAGGACAAGAGTAGATTGGTAAGAGTGTCTATGTTATTTTGCTTTTGTTTTGTTTTTTTTAAGGAATAAACAATACTGTTGATTGATGCCTTTCTTATTCCATTTTTATACTACTGAGATGTCCATGAGTCTTTTTCTCCTTCTTAATGGATGTAAAATCTCAGTACTGTACCGAGATATGCTGATATGGTGCTTACTTCTATGCTAGATTGGCTGATTACTGTGAAAAGGAATACATGAGGACCATTATGACAAAACAACAGTGGTGGTCTTCTGCAGACACTGCATCAAGCATAGATGGATAATGGACACCTAGCAAAGACAGCAGTGTCCTACTTTTAGATATCTGTATGCCTTGTGCCTTCCACCAGCCTTTATCCTACAAGGTGTGCCTTTCTTTTAATTCAAGCTGGGTCAATTAATTCCTCCTGTTCTGAACATATTTCAGGGTAAAATTGATTGACTGACTGATTGATTGATTAGGTGCTATCAAATCAGTGTTGACTGTTAGCAACCACATAGATAGACTTTCTCTAGGATTATCTGTCCTCAACCTTTTAGGTTTTTCAGTAGTACATTCATTGCTGTTGCAATCAAGTCTTTCTATCTTGCTGGTGGTTGTCCTCTTCTTCTCTTTCTTCTACATTTCCCAGTATTATGGACTTGTCAAGGGAGCTGGATTGTCACATAATGTGTCCAATATATAATTTGAGATTTGTTCTGTGATCCATTTGTTTGTTTTCCTGGCTATCCTTAGTATTCTCAAGTGTCTTCTCCAACACCAAAGAAGTTGGTGTCAATACTTTTTCTGTCTGGAAATCAAGAGGAATTTCTTTGGGGTCAGAGTTTGCAGAAGTGGGCAGCTCCCAGTTGGCCTGACTATTTTGGGTGTCTGGGTGTGGAGGCCATGTATTTTTATTTTAAAAATGTTTTAAATTCTCTTTCTATCCTGCTTCATAATCCAACTTTTTCATCCACAGATTGTCACAGGGAAAACTATTGCATGCACTATTCTAAACTTTCATTGCTACCTTACCAAGTGCTAGTCTGCAGCGTATTTCTTGATTGCTGCTTCCTTTACTGTTGATAACTGATCCTAAAAGCAAAAGTTACCCACCACTTTAGTGTTTTCATTGTCAGTTCTAAGGCAAGGTTGTACCTGTTGTCATTAGTTTGGTCTTCTTTATATTTAATTTTAGTTCCATTTTTTCACAGTGCTTCTAGACTTTTATTACTAGAGCTTGCAAATCCTAGTACATGTTCAGCTATTAGAGTAGTGTCATAAACATAGCACAGGTTATTGATATTTCTTCCTCCAATTTTAAAGCCACACTCATTTTCTTTGAATCCAGCTTCTCTTAATATATATTCAGCATATAGGTTGAATAAATAAGGGGAGAGAGTATGCACTCTTGTCTCACTTGCTTGCCAACCTGAAGCCAGTCTATTTTGCCCGGGTCCATCTGGACTATACTATGAAAGCAACACAGTTCCTTGTTTGTTTCTCATGCCTTGAATAGTAAACAGTAAGGTTTTCTGTCCAACCGCAATTCATTTCAAATCTGCTGGTGCCCAAGATGTCAATATGTAATTGATTCTTTAATTTTTTATTGTGTTGAGTTTTCCCATGTTCATGCTTCTTACATGTTCCCATTGTAATTCTGTCTTTGCACCTTTGGATTTCCTTTTTCCACATGGCAACATCATCAACTTGATGTCCAGAAGGCTTTAATCTAGCTGTGTCATACACATCTTTAGTACTCTGAAAGATCCTCAGCTTTTCTTCAGTAGTATGTTGAGTACCATCTGACCTGAGGGGCCCATTATCCGGCACTAGATTGACAATCGTTTTATGGTGTCCTTGGGGTTCTCTGAGCTTGGTTGTTTTCTTGCAAATGTTTCGTTACGCAGCTAGGTAACATCTTCAGTGCTAGAATGGAGTGGGGTTTGCTCTCTTTATATACAGTGGCTTGCCCTGCCAGTGTTGGTGGTGTGTGTGTGTGTGTTTTCCTTCCTACCTATCCAAGGTAGTTCCTTGATTAGGGTATTGTTTACTGCTTGATTGTATGTCCGTTGATAATCTTGGTGTTAATCTCTACTTATCTGGGTGATTGCTGGCAAGGAGGTGTTCTGGTCTTTTTGTTTCCTTTTTATTGTCTCTTTTGAATAGTGTGTAGATGTTGTTTATCTCTATGTGCCTATGTGCCTGTTGTTTATTGTTTATCTCTATGTAACAAAACATTTCCAAGCAAACAACCAAGCTCAGAGAACCCCAAGGACTCCACAGTTCAACTCTGAGCTACACATATTCTCTTCTATTCTATGTGCCTGTTGTTTATTGTTTATCTCTATGTGCCTATGTGCCTGTTGTTTATTGTTTATCTCTATGTAACAAAACATTTCCAAGCAAACAACGAAGCTCAGAGAACCCCAAGGACTCCACAGTTCAACTCTGAGCTACACATATTCTCTTCTATTGCAATCATTTTATCCCTGTGGTTTTCTTGGTAAAATATATGAGTGGTTGCCTTCTCCCTGACAGCATGAAATGATGCCTTTGCCATTGTCACTAAAGTGATCATCTGCCTCTAGCACCTTCCTGTATCGCTCCTGCACAGTGTAGGTGTCTGCTTGCTTTAGCAGGACAGTCTGGATGACCTTTGTGCCTTGGGCGACCCTGCTGGAAGTACCCTTTTGGTATACACTCCTGGCCTGCTTCAGTCACTCTCCAAAGAACATGCATACAAACACACAACACGGCCATGATGAGACAGCATAGCATAGTTATACACATTTTGTACCAGGTGGATGTTTGCAGGTGGAAATGAGAAAATAATTCCAAGAATTAGTTTTCTTTGGAAAATTCTGGGTCTCCCTGAAGGCACTTTTGCTGCTCATTTAAGAACAGAGGAGAAGGATTTAACTAGAATAAATTAACTAAATCTTATTCTTCATATTACCAGGAAGGAAACAAGTTGAAAAATGCACTGAGCCATGTACCTCTTGTCTTGCTAGGTGCAGGGAAAAAACTTCATGACTTTTCCTTGAGCAGTATGATAACTGACATGCTGGTTTGGTGCAATGTATGAAATGTTTAAATGGTATTATCGCTTTAGGAACAGCAGATTAATTTCACAGTACTCATCCACTCTTTCCTGTGCTCTATTAAGTATGACTTTTATTAACTTGTCTATACAAGCCATGCTTTTTGCGTAACATGGGCATAGAACAGGTTCTCTCTGCTTGCAGTTGAAGATATTAAATATTATGAACTACATTGCCCTGTTTATGAGACAATAAAATGCTGGACTTGGATATTGGTACATCTGCAGGTTCTGAAACTGAATGCATTAAAGATTTGCAGATGGATGTGATTTGTTACATCAGGTATCATGGCTATTTTTGCTTCATTGTATTATAAACTTAGAGGACAAGACCATCCCCATTACTGGATAAGGTATACTGTTAGAAACAGTCTTATTTTAGTTATAGAATTTAATGTCACAATAATAATTTATTATAAATAATACAATTACAATTAATACTTATAACTATAAATTATTAGGATGTAATTTTATTTTTATTCTGTTATTCCTTTTTTCATTCTCTCCTGTATTTTAAGCTTCATTTTATTCTTTACTAAAGTGTGTTATGCTCTGCGGTTACAACTAAAAATCAATTCTGATTTTGATAGATAGCAATACATACTAGACTGCTTACTTTAAAATATGGTAAAGTTAGCATTATTGTATCTGAGGTCTCTTTTGCTCATTCTGCTGAGTTGGGCTAAGAATATTCTTTTTTGAAATCCTGCTTCAAGGACAGGACTGGACTCAGAAAGATCTACACACATTATCGCTACTCAGCACTAGCATTGATTTTTATTTACTGTATATCCCATGCTTTGCTACCTTTTGCAAAATACTGCAAAATGGACGGTGTGTTTTTTATTCCCAGAACCTTTTTGTGAAAGTTTTGTCTAATTAAAAAATGGGTCATATAGCTATATTGCCCCAGATGCTCCTTTTGCAGATTGTTACTTACGATGAACAAGCCTTGCATTAATAAGCATGTCCTGAAAACATGAGTGCTTTCTTTATTCATTTCTCATACACTTATGTTTTCTGAATATACAGAGAGAAGGGGGAAAAAAGCATGTGATGCATGGATCTCACTATGATCATACACTGTTATGAGTCACAGGGTATCTCTATACAGCTTTTGTTGGCTGGCTGTGGCATGATGCAAACATACTGTTGGCCTCAACTGAACGTTATTTGAGATATCAAAATGCAAGTTAAGCTGATATTTGATAACTATATTGACCATATCTCATTTTGCCTTGTATTCCAAAATCCTTGTACCATTATGGATTATATATATTGTCTTCAACTATTATGTCTCAGTTTAGCAAGTTCCTTTTGGCTTATGTATTTAATTTAGGATTCATTTCATACACTGAAGAAGTGGGTAAAAGAACTAAAAGAACATGGTCCTGAAAACATTGTAATGGCTATTGCTGGAAACAAGTGTGACCTTTCTGATATTAGGTAATATATTTACTTTTTGCAGTTTTCCATTGCTTTCTTCTACAGTGTGACAAATATAGAAATATTTTGAGTTTTTATAAGTTTTTTTAATATTAAAATTTTAAACCAATACAAACAATAATGAAGATAATGCAAATAATAACAAAAATGTCTACTTACATTTTATTTAAACTGTTATGACAAAATTGAAATAAACAAAACAATGAAAGCTAAGAAAAAAAAATTAAAAAACATGTCTACCGTTTCAAAATAATAGTAGTATTATACTATTCAGTTTTAAACTTTTTTTTACTGCTTTGTTCTGGCCTTGTCCATGGTGCTTGAAGTCTCCCCTACTTATTCCGTATGTCAAACTCCCATACAATATGTCCTTGTTTGGCTCCCTGTTTGTTTGCTCTGGTCACAATACCTAGAAACTGCTTCTGTGTAAGAATTCTAGCCTGGACTTGGTCTCTATTCCTGATTACATAAATGATTTTGTATTTGTTAAGTTGCTACTGGGAGAACAACTTAAGTATCTAATTGTTGAGACAGATTTCTTGTTATTGTGTAAACTTTCTATTGGAATAAACTGAACTTTTGTTTTTAATAACAAATAGTCTCTTTTATTGGAACATTTTAAATGTATTGCTGATGATAGGTTATATAAAAACCTAGCGAATTCAACTTCTTTCTTTCAAAAATGAGTTATTTTCTCCAAAAGACAAAGTGATTTAATGGTTAATTAACATATATAGAACAACTTATCCTGTTATTTATTATTTATTTATCTAATTCCTCTCACATATGTGACTCTGGGTGGTCACAATAATTAAAAACAACAGCAAAAACAATAAAAATATAAATAAAAACAACAAACATACACCCATTCTAAAACTGCTATTAAAAACTCAAACACAAAACACAGTCAACAGGTAAATACAATCAATATATCCAGTTTAGTAAAACCATTGGAAAGGGTCACCATCTTTCAATCAGTTACATATTGCTTTCCTTAAATTTTGAAAAGCAAGGGTAAATTCTAGGATAATGAGTGGATAGTGTCTTTAATAAATCCAACTAAAAATTTAAGCAGAAAACATATTTTGTGTTAAAAGGTAAATTATATTATCAGAATATATTGTCTGAATCTAGGGCTTAAGAATTGTGATGGAATGTATCTACGAGGAGGAGAGTGATGTGGGAGATCAAGGCTATCAGGAGGGAGGGGTTGCATTCCAGGAGGGGAAAGGAGACAAAAGAAAATACAGCCCGCAAGAGGAGCATGGGAAGAGTAAGAGGTTCAGGATAGCCACTCCCTAGAATCTCCCAGGGTATATTCACTGGTTGCTGCAGTATAGATTTAGTTTGGCAAGATTCTGTCTATAAGGTGTAAGCAAATAAAGAAACTGTACTCGACTGGATTGTTTCGTCGTTGTTCTTGGGCTGGGCCTGACAAGAATAAACATTTCCATATTTGGTAATACATTTCATTTCATTTATTAATTATTGCTCAAAATGGCTTACATGGGGAATTTCCCCTAAATTTATCCTTACATCAACAAACTTCTGAAGTAGGGTGGACTAAGAGCAAGGGGCGGGCCCAGCGTTACCAGCTGAGCTGTGTAGTAGAATGAGGACTGAATGTTGATCTCTCTGCTCCAAGTCCCGCACCTTAACCACTATAACACACTAAATTGTATGAAGTCCTTTATAGTACTTTAAAGTTGATCAGGATTTGACTTATATCATACCTTAGTCAATATATTTAGAGAGGAACATTTAGAAATAATAATAAAAAGGAATGAAAAAATGCTGTAGTGTGTTCTCAGATATTTCCTTTATTAAATTAAGAGTTACAGGCCACGAGATTTGGTTACAAACTGTAATTAAATGGTGGAAACAGAACCATATAATTACAGTCTTATTGTTTTTGATGGAATTGCATAATTTCTTGCCCTTAGATGTTCAGACACAGTGAAGCCCTTTGTGTATTCATAAGTCATTAACATTTTATCATGCTTATATTCTTAATTATTTAAAATTATGTGTATTAATCTAAGCCTAAAACAATAATATTGAATTCTAAGGCTTAAATCAGTGTTTCTCATCCTTGACAACTCTAAGACATGTGGACCAACTCCCAGAATTCCTCAGCCAGCATCTTAGAGTTGCTAAGGTTGAGAAACACTGGCTTAAATAATCTTGTTTTTAATATTTGGACAAAGAATCCTTTTTCCAAGTTTTGATTAGCTTGACCATATTTAGACTTGTTGTAAAAAGAAGAGGAAGAGTAGGAAAGGCTTCTTTTAACCAAACATGAGAACACAAAACCAGAAGCAGCCTTCTACAACAGGAAGAACTCTACCTATAAAATGATATGCTATAAGCTACAAAATACTTCATTGTTAATTTAACATAATAAAAACATTAAGCTAGTATAAAATTTTATAACTGTCAGCATTTTCAATCATTAATAGTTATATAAATAAAAGCATAATAAAGTGACTGTAATATCGGATGGAATTTTGTGTTAGATATACTGTATACTTCACCCCCATATATGTTTAATAGACAAAGAAGACCTAGATCAACTTCAATTTAGGTGTTAGATCCATATAGTGTATATGGTTTCTTTTATTTCCCTGGCTCTCATAATAATGAGAGAGGTTAAAGCATTTGAGAGATACAAAGTTGAGAAAATAATTTTAGTGGGAGGTGAAGAAATTGGGTGGTAGAAGGGATTATGCAATTAAATCAAACATTTTTGCTAAAATGTTTAGTAACAGAACCGATATTAAATTTGAGAGTACAGAAGGGAAAGCTTATTGTAGTTTATTTTTCTGGTGGAGATTTTTAAAATAGCATTAAAATGAGGGTTATGGAAAGCTATAAAATGCTTAATTTCTTTGAAAATCTGTCTAATTATGCATCAAGAAATATAAGATAGATGGAATGATGTTAGAGTTGAAACATCAATAGCATGGCAACTAATGTTTTGCTCCAGGGTCAAACAAATCAAGAGGAATTATTATTCTTACCAAGGCAGTTAATTAATTAATAAGGCAGTTAATAATTTTGAATTGATAAAAATCCAAAAAATACAGTTAAAAAAAAATCTACAAGTCTTGTTAAAGGGAATGTACACACTTTTTCACTACTTTATTCATTGAACCAAGTACGAGTTGTATTCTTGCAGAAAATACAAAGGAAGTTGAAAAAATGTGATCTATACAATTTAGGGAAAGCTTTAAATATCAATTTGGTAGATTTGAACTTAAAAGAGCTGGATAAAAGGAAAAAGTAAAATGTAAAATATAATCAACTGTTAAAACTTCCAATAGATTATGATTTATGTGAAACATGGGAAACTCTTGATCTCTTAAAATGGGATACTAAATTTTATTTAAGGAGGTATCAAGATGGATTTTAGGCATGGATCACTCTAGAACAGCAGTTGCTGGCCTGGAAAAGTTCCTGTATGGAATGTTTTGCATATCCCCGTTTTACAAAAATACATTATCATGCAACACAAATGCATTATGTGATTTCTCTAACACAAGAGGATCTATAAAACACTAAGTATGTATGGAAAATATTTGTAAAGAATTTAAACTTCCATATTGAGTTATTTCAAAACTGACCAAAGAAAAATAATTGAAAATAAAAGTCTTTTATTCAATGATTAATTGATTGATTATGTATAGTAGGTTTGAATTTTTCTTTAAAATGTTCATTAAATTGTTAACTGAACTCTCATTGAATTTTTAATGCATCTTAAAGGTTATTGTTATTCTGATACAAACCATTTGTGGTATAAATGTGCAATAAATAAATAAATAAGCCCCAGTGACTGGGAAGTCTGGGCGTTACAGTCACAATTTTCTTTAGAATGGAAGGTAGACAAGTTCCTAATGCTGTCAGAACACTCTTATGGATTTTGTGTTGTGTTGCATAGCCTCTCTCCACCTTCTATAGTTTTGGGGAGAACAAGAACTAATTGTATTTCTCATCTGAGAAACATGCAGTAAGAAATAAAAGAATATCCAGTGTGGTCAAATTATGGAGAATAATAATATAGTTGGACCCAAATTTCTTGTTGCATGCCAACTTAATTAAACTTCTAAAACTTTATTTTAGGGAGGTACCTATGAAAGATGCCAAAGAATATGCAGAATCTATAGGTGCAATTGTTGTTGAGACCAGTGCCAAAAATGCAATTAACGTTGAAGAACTCTTTCAAGCAATCAGTAAGTAAAATTAGAATTTGTTTTTGCATATTTAAGCATGTGCAACTTAATTGTTTGTTATTTGGGTCATAGACTTGCTAAAGTCTTAGTTTATTTCTAAAGGACAAAAATGAAAGAGATAATTCTTTATGAATGAAAAATAGTTTCATAGAGAATAAGCAAAGTAATGCTTTACTATACTATTCTTAAAGATATGAATTCCTGCATTTATAATATAAGAAAAATAATTCATGGATTAGCCACCTGAATTAGTATGATGTGAAGTATTTTGAATAATACCTGCCTAATACATCTGTATGATGAGAAGGCATAGAGGATAAACCAGTTTTTCCTTAATATTGTAGAACTGAAGCTCTGGAAAAAGATCTGAGGGATATCTAATCCTACTTCCATAATATAAGCAAGATTCATTGAGTCATAGATGGCATATTTTATTTGATCTCCTCTTAAGCCTTCATGAAGGATTTTTCAAAAGACATGCTATTCTGTTATGCCACCCAGTTAGTCTTACAGATAAGAACTTCTAAGAAATTTGCAGCTGCTGCTGTTTTATATCTAACAGCACAACCACTTAACTAAATAAATCTATTAATATTACATTATTTTTACTCTTCTGCTGAGATAATTCAATACATATAATCAGCCTTATGGCAGTAATAATGAATTACACTGATATTGCATACCTGTCTACATTTTTCTTAAGTAGAAATGTGCTACTTATTTTACTATGCTTGATAATTTTATAACTTTCATTTCCTTATAGGCTGGCCTACATTTTGCAGAGACAAATTTGGCACTTCTTGCAATAGGCCTTGATAGAGGGTTCCTTAATATTCAGCTAGAGTTGTTTCCTAAGCAGTAACAATCTCTTATGTAAAGAGATACAATATTTTAATTCTCCTGGAACTCATTTTTCATTCCTTGATATGTAGGAGAAAAGGAGACTCTCACATACTGTTCCAATATCCTGAAGGAAGTTTTATGAAAATTTAAGCTAAAACTTCCATCTAATTGGAGAGATCCAAGCAGTGGTGTGACTGAGATATTCAAGCTAGATCCCAGAGAGGACATAAAATCAATGAACAGAGACCTCTCTTGATCCTTATACATTATATGGTACGCATGGTCTCTCATTCTGGGGCACTGTAATCTGAATTGCCTGAGCTGATGTGGAGAATGTTTCACCAACACAGAAAGGGAGTTGCACAAGATCATTCCTTTTTTTAATTTATTTATTCATCAAATTTATATGGGCGCCCATCTCACAAAAAAGTGACTGGGCGGCATACAGTAAAACTATAAAATCGTTAATATATATAAAAAACAATTATTATTCAGAAAAAAATTTTAAAAATCACAAAGGCTAAGAGAGGGCAGCAGATGTTAACAACAATGGAGACACCTCAGTACCTCACAGGTCCCCTGGGGCCCCCAGGCCTGATTGCATAACCAGGTTTTGAGAGACTTCTGGAAAATCAACAGGGATGGAGCCAGCCTCACCGGGGATAGGGGGAGGATGTTCCATAAGGCAGGCACCACAGCAGAGAAGGCCCACCTCCTGGGACCTGCCAAGTGTAGCTCCCTAGCAGATGGGACCTATAGCATGCCTCTTCTGCTGGATCTGATATGACAGGCAGATACAATCAGGGAGAGGCGGTCCCTCAAATAACCTGGCCCCATATCATTGAAGGGCTTTAAAGAACAAAACCAGCACCTTGAATTGGACCCAGAAGCACGCTGGCAATCAATGCAGCTCGTGGAGCAAAGGTGTAACGTGTGCTGTTCTAGCACAGATAACTGCTTGTGCCACTCCATTTTGTACCAGCTGAAGCTTCTGGATACTCTTCAAGGGCAGCACCACATAAAGTGCATTACAGTAGTCCAATTGGGAGGTGACTAGGGCATGAGTGACTGAGCAGAGCCCCTTTTATCCAGTAACAGGTGCAACAATATGTAGCTGTGCAAAGGCTGTCCTAGCCACAGCTGCCACCTGCTTGTCGAGGAATTCAGGAGGACCCCCAAGTTGGGCATGGGTCTGTTTGGGACAGCGCAACCCCATCCAGCACCAAAGATGGCACAGTCCTAGAACCAGCAGACTCCCAAACCGAAAGCCACTCAGTCTTGCCAGAGTTCAGCTGAAGCCTGTTGTCCCCATCCAGACCCTCACAGCCTCCACGCCCCAGGATAGGACAGATCCCTTGTTTCTTTGATTTGTCACTGAAAAACACGAGTAGATTTTTGAGAGCTGAATTTCAGAGATTATTGTGAGATGTGTATTCTAGCAATAACATAAAAATTAAATTCTTGATCATCAATGTGTGTTACTACTGGAAATGTCTTTGACATCTAGGGAACTTAAATCGGCAAAGAATTTTTGAAAAGAATACAGTTTCCTGGGGACTAGGAGCAGTGAAATCAATATAAGAGGCTGGCATCTGTATTAGGTACATCTAGCAAGAGGGCACTATCCGTCAATATTAGGGCTGTGCAGTGCTTTGCAAACTCAAGGGAAGAAATATGATTTAGAGCACACATGGTCATGCATGGATTGCCTATCAAAAACACCTTAAAACAATTGCTACTTTTCCCAGGTGGATGCTCTTTGCAAACCACTGTACCATCCTGTGTTTGCTTTAGGATGTTTCTGACAGGTGCTACAAGCATGATCCAGATTACATTTTTGCCTTTGAATCCTAATGCTGCACAGCTTTCTCAGTATACGGCAGTGAGTAAAAGCCATTATGAATCTCCTAATGAAGTCATTTTTCTCTACTTTAAGGAACTGGCAGTTACTTGAATAATAGAATATAATTTCACCCATCTCTCAATTACAGCATTGATTCATTAAAATGGACCTGATTATAGGAAATGCAGTCTGAAAAAAGAGTGCACCATTGCTGAATTCCCACAATTTAAATAGGATCTCCTCAGGTACACACTGGAAGAGCACATTTTGCCTCAGTTTCTTATTTCCGTATATTTCATAAAAATCTTTTGACACTATTTTAAGTTTGGTCCCTTAGAAAACCAGATTTTGTGTGAATTTTATCTTAAAATAATTTAGTCACAATAGCTAACTTGCATTTATATAATCAGATGGCCATCACAAAATTCTCCTGAGTTGTAGAATAAATGTTCTCATTAGTTTAAAATATGCTGTATCTTTATTCTTTTGCAGCAAAGGATAGCACATGTGAAAGACTCCAAATGCAATAATTTTACAAAGTGTAAAGATTTTCTAATTTTGCACAGAGCATTATATTGCTTTCAGGGCTCAATTTTAGTTTTCTAAGGTATATGTCATTTATAACAGCATCAATTTCACCCAACCTGAGGCTAGTACAGCCAATTTCAAGTACAGTACTGTATAATTATAAAGCAATGCACTTACTGGAGATTTGTAGCAAATGATATTCTGGAAATAGTAGAACATAACTCTCTGGTGGCTAATAGCCATGATATCAGTCTTACATTCCTTTGATGATGTGGAACAGGATTAATTAAAGTCCTTTAAAAAAAAAATCTACAGCTGTTTTATGAAACAAGCATTATATAGTATCACAAGCCTATTCACAGGACAAGAATTCAGTATCTTACTAGAGAAAAATTACAGTATTCCTCTTATCATTGAATTTATAGTGTGCTGATGGATTAACACAAAGGCAAAACAGATTGCTTAATTTACGCAACTAACTTGTTGCCCTTAAACTATAACTTTGGTTACTAATGTGCATCATCGGATTCATCCAAATATGTCATAAAATAGTAATCCCAGTCAAATATAATAAAAGGTGGATTAGATTAAGTTTTGAAATTTGGGGTTGCATGAGTTTTTGTCATATTCCTAAGTGGAAAATGCTAATATTCAAACACTTTGTTAATGATTTAGTAAACATTTAAGAGAGTAGTTAATGGGATTATAGCTTGATTTCACATATTTTTCAGGTAACAATGTATGTAAGTAATTTCAGGCATGGGCTTTTTCTGGTAAGTGTTGCCTGGGTCTCAGTAAGTATTTTCAGAAAGTTGGCAATAGAATATCAGTGGAAAGTATTTCAAATTACAGTATGAATATTTCCAGATGGATTCCTACATATTCAATCAAAAGGCATTTTGCAATTATTTCTTTTCCTTCTTTTCTTTGAGGAAAAAAATATCAGAACTGAAGGGAAGATTAATAATACTGGACAATGACATTTGGAACCCTTATAAAATTTCATCTAGATTGAGGTGGTGGATAAATCACACAAATAAATAAATCAGGAAAAAAAACACCCTACCTCTCCTTTGATTCTTCTTGAGAAATCTCACTATAAACGTGTTTCTGTCTAAGCACGTAACAAAACTTGATTTTTAAAAAATTATGGTATTAATATTATTTAATAATTTATTATTGATATTTGAGAAGAAGGAAACTCTCAGAAGTTAAATATAAAGTAAGTAAAGGAATAAAAGACCAGGAAAAATGTAGGCAAGAGGGATCATTTAAATGAGCACAATATGTGAGATTCTACAAAATTTCAAGTGCTTTACACGGTAGAGATGTTCATGCTTTTGATTTGTGAATGTTCAATTCCCTTGGTCTTTCCTGCAATAACCATTTTTTTTTGCAGATTATTATGTTTCCTGGTAAAATATTTTAAAATACTATTAGTAAAAGGTATATCAAAATCAAACATTATTTTTATGAAGTAGATCCTGTAAAATTCTCGAAGAGGGTGCAGGGTGCGTGCGATCGCAGGGAGGCTGTGGAAAGAGGGCATGGGGTATTTGTGTGTGTGCAATTGCACGGAGGCCAAGGAAAGAGGGCACAGTTGTGTGCGAGTGAAGGGGGAAGGAGGGTGCGATGCATGCGAGCAAAGTAAGGTCGGGTGGTGGTGGGGAGAGACTTACCCCAGCAACTTGTGACCTTCCTTGCCAGCTTCCTATTGACTTTGCTTGGGTAAAGCACAAATGGCAATCATGTGACCACAGGATACTGTAACTGGTTGTAAGTGCGAGCTGGTTGCCAGGCACCTGAATTTTGTTCATGTGACTGCAGTGGCGCTGCAATGGCCAGAACTTCGAGGACCGGTCATAAGTCCCTTCATTCAGCACCATTGTAACTTTGAATGGTCGCTGAACAAATAGTTGTAACTCAAGGACTACCTGGAGAGCAGTCAAAAGATGAGAAAAGAGCTCCTTAAACAAAAGGAGGAACTAGGCTTTAAATTCAACCCATTTCCATTACCAGCTAGAAGTTAATTTTTTAGTTTTAAGATTTAAAAAGCAAAAGAAGTCTCTGGAAGGATCCTGCTATGGATTAGGGTCATGATGAAGGATGTAGGATTAGCCTCCCATGTTTTCTTTTAATCCTCCTGTCATATAGGAAATCTTATAGATAAGAAATCTCATTCTCAAGCAGTTAGATAAGCTGTAAGGGTTTAACAATTGTATATGTTTTGTTTTGCTTTTAAACATTTCTAGGCCGGCAGATTCCACCTTTAGAAACTTATGAAAATGGCGATAGTGGAACAATCAAACTTGGGAAGCAGACTGCTCAGACAACACGGAAATGCTGTTAAACGAACCAGAGCCGGTTGGATGCACTTGAAATGATATCATTTATTTATTGAACAACAGAGTTCAGAAATCCAGTGACACAGTATACTCTCTAAAAACAGTAATAGCACTGTTCTTTATCAATGGGATTAGTAGGAGAAAATATCCTTCAAATGAATTCTGCAGAATTACATAGACAATTAATTTAAGTAGTTAAAACAATGACTCAGATTATTTGGAATAATCTGTTTAAACCAATGGCTATTTTAAATAAGCAATTAGTACATTTTTTACAAATCCTTTTTGTATTTTCAATATGTTTCTTGTTATGTAGACTTTTACAGAATTATAATACATAGTATTTTAATTGAAGAAACTACATTTTATCTTACTTAATTTGGCTTCTGTGGCTTTTTAGAACTATTTTTAAAGGTATAAATCAGGTACTTACCCTCTGCATCCAACATAGATAAAATCCAGTAACAATAATAACATTTTGATAAATGTTAAACTTTTACTTCTGCATTTGAAAAGCAAAGTCACTGAAATACAAACAGCATTTTAAAATAAATTAGACAGAAGCAGAGGCTTTGGGCATAAATACTGCAAATGTTAAATGCAAACAGACATTATACCAAATGCCAAAAAAAGAGCATGATACACTTTTTATTGAATTCATTTAAATTTGGAATAATTTAACACTAATGTGGCAGTTACATACATCAGTACTGTAGTTGTACTTTTCTATTGCTATTTGGTTTAATATCATGACCTTTAGTGCAATTATCCACATCTATATCTTTGATCTGTCTGTTTCTGACTTAGTGACAATACAGATGCAAAGTGGAGTCCAAGGAAGTTGAGAACAATTCACACAACTTTTTTATCTGCTCCATTTTCATAATAGATTGAATATTAATCTAATACCATACCAAGCTAGTACAAACAACAACAACAAACTGTTGAAAGGCCCAGTTCTGATATATTTTACTTCATGCTTCCTTTATTGTAAATTGCATATACCTGAAGTTGCTATCTGTGCAGTAAACTGATAGATTCTGCCATAGATGTTTATAGTAGCAAAAAGTGACAAATATAGAATTAGGAAATTCTATAGATGTATTTTCATGTATTTTCATGTCCTTATACATATACAGTGGTTGGGAATAGATCCTCCTGAAGAAAATCTGTCTATATGATCTCTTAAGAATCAACCCTGACTTGATGGTACATAATCAATTCTACATGTACGATACTGTTCCATTGGGTAGAATCATAAAGTTAGAAGGAATATCAACCATCATTTAGTAGAATCATAAAGATAGAATCACAAAGTTCTGAAAATCAACAATCATTTAGTCAGTTAGTAGAATCATAAGGTAGACTCATAAAGTTCTACTAAAAGTCATTTAGCAGAATCTTAAAATTAGAAGGAATATTAACAATCATTTAGTCTAACTACCGGCTTGAAGTGATATATTAATATTGATTGGTATTACAGAATTGCATGTTTAGATGTTATTTTGTAGAAGTTGTGGAGGTACAAAATATTCCTATGTAGAAATGGGAGGGGAAACTAATTTTTGCCATCTGTGGGATACTCATGTTGAATAAGCAACATCATAATATGTTTTGGGGCAGCTACAGAAAGAAGGTTCCTTGAAAACTCCTTCTGAATAAATAGAAGCACTTTGTTATATAGAAGCTTCAATGCTCATTCTTATGTTATGAAATACAGACCTTTAGCTAAACCCCAGCTCTTTTGACAGTGAAAATAGTCAAAATAACCATCTAACAACAGCCTAAAAGAAAGCTGTGATTATCTTTTTCTGTGAATAATTAGTGAATGACTTTTTATGGTTGAAATGTTCTGCCAGAATTCATATCTAATTTTGCTAGGAAGATTGACATAAGAATAAAAAGAAAACAGTATAATTTTTAGTGGAAGAGTATTAGGGGAAAAAAAGAATATTAGATAGTTTTAGGGGTCATTCTTTGCAAAAGTTCACTCAAACATTTAGATCTATATGCAGCACGGTAGTTTTTAAGTAAAGAAAATAAATATTTGAGAGTCAAGTTCATGCATGAAACTTAAAATGGAAAGAAAGCAAAGCTCACTATCAATACAGTTTACAATGAGCAATTTCAGAAACTAGTGTACTCTTCAGTCCAACAAATATGTACTCAGAAATATGTCACACGGTGTTCTGTGGGCTTACTTCTACATAAATAGACATAAGATTGCCTTAGGAATTTTTTTTGTTACACATTTTACCTGAAGGTGGCAGGTTATATGAACTTGTTTTTTAGTTTTGTGTTCAGTACTGTAATTAAGGTAAAGCAAAACGAATCATACTATAAAAATAAATCCAAATCTTGCTATAAATAAGTAAGAACTTGCTTGCCTTTTAAAATTTGTATATAGCATTCTAAGTTTATTTTAAAGTAATAATAAATTCAATAAATTGAAGGAAGGAAGGAAGGCAGGCAGGAAGGCAGGAAAGGAAGGCAGGAAAGGAAGGAAGGCAGGCAAGCAAGCAGGTATTTTTTCTGGGGAAAATATAACCACTATTGAATTAATAAACAATTTGAAACTCCTGAAAAAATCAGCAATGTGTTAGATAAGATTTAATGGACTAAATCTAAATATTTAAATTAGAACAAATGAAATCAAGCACACGCGCACACACACACACATACATATATGCCATAAAAATATCCAGCTTCCATTATGAAAGCATCCAGACAGCAATCTTTTAAAAAGCAGATTCTTTTGGGGAGAATCTAAAGTATAAAAAAAGTTTTATAATTTCTTAAAACAGACCAATAAAGGAGTAGTCTGAATTTGTAGAGAGAGTGATTATATAACATTTCTAAGATTAGATTTCATCCTTCAGATCAAAATGTAATTCCATGTTTCAGAATGGAGAAAGGTATATAAGAGAACAATCATTGCGTTCAGGAATATTGTTCATCTTCCTGTAACTAACTATGTAAAGTCCTTATGAATATATGTCTCATGGTTGTTTGGAAGCTCATGTACAATTGCATTCACATGAATCAGAGCCCAGAGCTACTTTTTTTTGGTGGGGGTGGGGACCCTCTGAAAGCCCTCTAATGACACTTATATATTACCTGCTATTTTAGGAAGAAAACAAAAAAGTAGTGTACATTAAGTTAACTTTAACCAACTTATCATAATTGTAAAAAAGTCTCCTGTCAAATCCCCCCCCCCCCAAAAAAACCCAAAAGAAAACAGAAAATTTCATGCACTGCATATCTTGGCCACCTCAAAATGTTACGTGTAGCTATCAAAAGATTGTTCACCTCTAACCTGCATAATTAATTTTAATCATAATTAATAATTGGTTGTCTTAATTTCTGATCATGGGAGATCTGAAGTGGTATCTCCATAAAAACCTAGCTATAAATCCAAAAGACATCTGTGTGATGGTGCCTTCTGTTGATCAGTTTTTTCCAAAATTGTCTGAATGTTTATAGATGTAATCTTGCACAGTTAAATATATTTAAGGAATATTTAAGGTATACTGTTAAATATGTTCTGAAGTAATGGTGGTTTCATCTCTAAAATTGTTCAGACTGGTAAATATTCTTTTCCTGTTATGTTAAATGAAGCTCAATGATAGGAGAAGGAATCAAAATAAATCTCTATGAAAAAAATCTCTTACTCTTGTAGAAAAATAATCTCAGTTGCATATAGTTCATGCTTGCAAATCTCAAGTCATAAAGCAGTATCTCTGTATCATAAGAAATAGTGAAATTTTGCTAGCTGAGCGGGAAATGAACATGTTCACTTCCCTTTAAACTAGGAGAAAAGTTCTCATCACAGAACAATCGTTAACTTCAGATTGTCTGGGTTTGCATAACATGCTAGGCCAAAATGTTGTTGTGGAAATGTGATTTATGGTTCAGGATATGATATGAACCTAAGGAAATGGGTTAACTTAGTAAATTATGTTTCAGCTAATCATGAGTGTTGTGTGAACAATGCTAAATAAAAAGGCATGAGACCACAAATAAACATCCTTCCACCCACAGCTTCCTGTCGGCTACCCTTTAGATAGAGAATAAAGTTCTCGACATGAAGGAGCTTCATTTCAAATGTGCATAGAACCCTCTGCACGTACCAGAATTTGAGTAATGCATGTAGGGTGAATTCCCACTGTTCAGGCTTAATGCTTAGAATTGGCTTTATGGTATTCCACTGGAAAGTCTTCTACAAAGAATCCTCTCAAATCAACTCCTTTGCCTCCAAAACAATGAAGGTAGGTAGAATAGGACACTGAAATGTGTATCCTGTGGCATACCTCTTCAGTTTCCAAAAGGACTCATAAAGGGTCTTTTTGGAGTGGTAAGAATTGGTAAAATAAAATAAAATTGGATTTAGGGTGCATTTCCAATAGGCCCAATCCCACTCTTCATAAATAAATTAGAATACCTACTTGCATGCTAGATATTTGTTTTCTGAAGTACAAGATGGCAGATAAATTTATCTGTTTATAGAAATGGCAAAATCATGTTCCCCAAACAAGAGAATCAAATCATTTTTCTGTTAGATATTGACAGATTGTTTTTATTCTTATCCAGGTCAATAGTATTTAATTCTAGTCTTTTATTATTCAGTATAGCCAATTGTAGTAAAGTTTCAGTGCACAGGGCACTTTGCTTTTTATGTAGCCATATACTCTATCCAGTACACATTTTTTAAAAAAATCAGATTTGTTTAAACCTAAACAAATATGCAATGTACTCTTTGAATTGTTTATATCAAACTTTGGGCTGGACCCATTAATGTATGGAATGTTATAATCTATTAATATTGTTTGCTCTATATAATAATTGTACAATCACCAACAAGATTTGGGCCTATTACAATGTTTTAATTTAACCTCTAGTAAGTGATACTAATAAATATTTTTAATTTCTGTGACTTGGTCTTTCTTAGATAACAAAAATTAAGTGTAACTTAACAGAAAGTTCTTGCAAGATTCTTAATGGATAAAATAACCTATTCATTTGGTGATAGACATGACTTGGATAATCTGAGATGATTGGGATAACTGCCTGTGAGGTCATCTGGGATTTGATCTTGAAGAGTCTGAAGAAGTAGATAGGGTTCTAGATGGTATGAGCTCTACCACCCATGGCTCAACTCACCCCCTGCCTGGCTACTTAAAACACCTGGAGAGGCAGGTACACATGGATGCGGAAGGTGATTAATGCTCTTTATGAGAGAGGATTGTGCTGTCAGCTTTGAAAGAGGCAGTGGTTCTCTCCACCACCACCACCACCACCACCATAAGAGTTTATCTCCAAATCTGGCTGCATTAGACAACATTGTCCAATCTCCAACCTTCCTTTTTTGGTGAAGATGCTGGAGAAGATGGTGAGACTGCAGTTAGGGAGTCATAATGAAACAGATAATCTGGATCCATTTCTGTCAAACTCAGGCTTGGCCATGATGGTCAAACGGCACTGGTTGCTTTCATTCAGGTTGATTACCTTTGTTGGGACTGGATGGTGGAGTGTACCCCTCTTAATCCTATTAGACATCTTGGTGGCTTTTGATGCCATCAAGCATGGAATCTTTCTGGACTGCCTGCAGAAATTGGGAGTGGAGGCAGTGGTTTTTAGTAGTTCCACTCCCACTCACAATCAGTCATGGGGAAGGAACAATCTAGCCCATGGTTACCCTAATGAGCATCACAAGGCTTGGCTCTCTCCTCCATGCTATTTAACATCTGTACATTTCCATCCCATGCCAGGCTGGAGGTGCCATGGAAGTCTTGATCTGGAGTCTGTTGGTCCTTCATAAGACTAAAGAAGCTCAGATTGAATCCTAGCAAGATAGAGTTGCTATTTGTTTAAAAACATAAGGACTGTAATCTTGATCTAGTTATTACTCTAGATGGGGGGTGGTACTTTCTCTGGAGGAACTGGTCTACAACTGGAGGGTTCGTTGCACCTACAACTCCTACTAAAACAGCAGGTGGAGATTATAGCCAGGTCAGCTTTCATCCAGTACACACTGGTACACTGATTACATCCCTACCTGAACTGAGAGACTCTGACAACTGTGACTCATCACCTCAGAGAGCTTACTGTAATGTGCTCCATGTGGGGCTTCCTTTGAAGACAACCCAGAAACAGCAGCTGGTACAAAATATGGCTAGACTGTTAGCAGGTAAGAGCCACTCCTGTAGCGTAACTGTTTTGCAATCACTCTGTTGATTGACAATAGGTTTTTAAGTCCAATTCATGGTGCTAGTTTTGATCTATAAAACTATGGCTTGGTTCCAAGTATCTTAGGAACTATTTCCAAAGTGATTCTGCTCTTTCCATGCATGTTTCCAGAAAGGGATGCTTGGAGTCTGGTCTAAGTAACATGGGAACATGGGCCCAAACACCAATCCTACTCTGTGATGGCCCCAATGATGGCACCAATGAAACACCTTGCCACTGAAGGTTTGCCTGACCCTCTCTTTATTGGCCTTTCATAGGGCAGCCAAGACAATTCTGTTCGAGCAGCTTTTGAGAGATGATTTGGATTGATCTGATTTGGGGGATTCTTATATCTTTAGTGTTGGTTTTATGATGAAATTGGGCCATAGGTTTTTATTATTTTACCTTTTGGGGGAGTTGTTTGTTTTACAATATTTATATTGTAATTTGCCAAGCTATTCTATTGGCATGGTAGTGGGGCGGTTTATTGTGGGATTTTATAATATGTTATTTGTAAATCACTCAGAGTCTTGTGTCCTTGGCAGTATAGAAATATGTGTAATAAATACATTTCCCGAAGTCCATAAAAAGCAACCTCGAAGGTCATGCTTCTACCATTTTGCCCAATAATACATACGGAATTGAGTATAAGACCCTACATGATATTTGGAAAGGTAAAGAAAGTGTGCTGGATCAATGAAAGGCCTCATCCAGCATTCTTATTCCATAATGACCAACCAGGTGGCTATGCAAAGCCAGTAAGGTGTAATTACACCTGACTGGAAGCTTCTATTTGGAGAAAAAAGTGAATGGAAGATTAGGAGTCATAAGGGAGGTGATAGTTGTCCTTCATATCCTACACACTAACAGCACCTAGCCCAAGGAACATAGCTCATGGGTTACTGAGAGTTCCATACCTCTGTAATAAAGGATAAGGATAATCTCACATAACAGATGAGAAAAAAACTGGCAGTACTCTATAGATTTTTATTTTTTTTTTTTTGGTTGCTATACTGAAAAATAAAATAGCTAAAATGTCGTACTGGTGGTTAATGACTGGATATATTTTTCTTGAAAGGCCTGACTACTAAATGGAACTGAAAGGGACCTTGGAGATCTCAACCCCCTGCTCAGTGCAGAATCTGCAATGCATGATGCAGCTGAAGCCTTTCTGCCAGATGGTTATCCAGTCTCTGCTGAAACATCTCCAAGCA